GGGGGGGTATTGGGTGGTGAGCGACAGGGAGGAAAGACGGGAGAGGGCAGGAGAAAGGCGCGACGGGACGGGTTTTTGGCTTTACACGCACACACACGTATAACGACTTGGGGCGATTTTGTACAAAGGTATCTGGCGAGGTAATTTAGATGTCTCTACGGAGGCTGCATCCTTTCACATCTGCTTTCTGGCTATCTGCTCGGAGGGCTCGAGGAAGCTCGAGCCTGCCTGCCTGCCTGCCTGCCTGCTTGCTTGAGTCCGGATTCCCCTTCTGTCTCACGGCAATAACGTGAAGGTGACGAGTCCGCGGACGTACAGCAGCCGGGCACCTCGCGTGGGAACAGGCTCGGACCGTGTGCCCCATGTCATGTCATGATCCGGGCTGACAAACTCCCACTCAGGAGAAGCCTCCTTCTCTTCCTGCAGGCGGACGATGGTCGATGGGAGCGACAAGGGCCATGCCTGCGGGGATCCATTGACACACGTCACAGCAACAAGCAAGGCGTAGGCAGGAAGGGGGAGGTCCTCGCTGCCGCGGTCGGTCAAGGAGAAAAGAGGGGCGTGGTGGGGCGCCTTGTCCGCCAAGAGACCAACAGGCGGAACATGTTCCGGCGGGCGTCGGCAGGCAGGCCATTCGGGGACAGAACTGGCAGGACAGCATGTGTGTAAGGTAGAGAGAGAGAGATAGTGTGTGTGTGCGTGTGTGTGTGAGAGAGAGAGAGAGAGAGGGAGGGAGAGGGAGGCACAGAGAATGATGTCAGACCCCCCTCTCCTAGGAAAAAAGGGGGTCGGTGGGTTTTGGCCGGAATCGTGTACGAGGTCGAGAAAAGGAGGAGAGACGACGAGAAGGAAGTGAACTAGCGACAATTTTTTTTTTTTTAAAAAAAAAAAAAAACCGGGCACTTTGGCAGTAGCAGGAACGGCGTCGTTCGCTGTGGACTGCAGGCTGTTGGCCGTCGGCTGGAGGTGTCGGCTGGAGGTGTGTGTCATGTGAGGAATGGGACGACGTTCTCGCCGTGTGTCGTGCACTGGGTTTTGGTGTCTTGGCATCGCGGTAGGGCCGTTGCGGCCTGTAGGGCTGTGATGGATGGCAAGGCCTGCTGCTCAGGTACCTAGCTAGGTAGACAGGTAGGTACCTTGTCGTTACCTTACAGGGCATGCGGGTGTAAGGCGGGCAGGCAGAGCGAGTGGGGGTGTTCGGGCCCGAGAGAGGATGGTCTGCTTGTCGGAGGGTGAAAAGGCCGACGGCCGACGGGTCTTTTGTCTTTGGCTCGTTCGGCGCGTGTGCTTTCGTAGGGGTAGGTAGGTAATGCATACATGCATTCTATCGGGGCATCATATTCTCATAGTAAATATGGGGCTCTGATGGACCGAGCCACCTCTCAAAGTAGGTACCTCAGGAGTAAGGTACGTAAGTACCCGGTACACTCTCCAGTGTTATCTGTTATCTCCCGTCGCCAAGGCCGTGGTCTTTCCTTTCTGGGAATCCCTCTCTGGGGAGACGAGTCGGTGAGATGGCAGCACGACGTACCATGCCACTTGACCAGCGACACTACCAATCCCCTCTGCCCCCATCCCGCCATCGACGCATTGGGACGCATGAGCACAAGCCGATCTGCGAGGGAGCCAACTTTATTCCCCTGAGTCGTGGTTTCTATTTCTGGAGGCTCCGGACCATCCCACGTTGCTCATCTCGACGTCTCTTGTCTGCCGGGTGACCTAGCTCGACCACAAGGCTGAACACCCAGCGCGCGCCACGCCATCCATCATGGCCTCGGGTGACAATGTCGACTACGAAGCCGTCATGGTGGATGAGTTTGATGCACTGTGAGTTTGGTACCCGTATGTGATGCCATGTCGGCCCGGCGGAGGCTCCTGATGCTGACCCTGAGCCCAGGAACATCGAGGTCAGGGTTTCGGCGGGCCCATCGTCTTCCGTGCCGGGTGCTGCCCTGTCAGCGCCGCGATGCCCCGGCATGAGAGCCTTGCCGCAGAAGGCGCCCGTCATGTCGACGCCTGTGCCGGCCGCCGCTCCGCTTCCAACGCCATCTGCTGTGGACGACGTGCCATCTGCTGTGGACGATGTGGTCATCCAGAAGGAGACAACGAAATATTCAGGTATGTTTCGCCCTGCACACCCTTTCTGGGTCTCCTTCTGGGTCTCCTTCTGGGTCTCCTTGCTGACTTTCCTTCTCGCTAGCGAAACTCCATGCTGGCAAGGTGGCCGACGAGCTCAAGGCCAGCGCCGGTCTCGTCTTCCTGCCCGGCGAGCCTTCGCGCACCTACGAGTATTCGGACATGGGGCCGGCCTTTCATCAACGCCGCTACTTCTTCTACCTCGCCGGCGTCAACGTCCCTGACTGTGCCGTCACCTACGACCTTGCCGATGACCGCCTGACCGTCTGGATCCCCTATGTCGAGCCCCGCAAGGTCCTCTACAACGGCCGCGTCCCCTCGATCAAGGACGTCCTCGCGGCCTCTGACGTCGACGAGGTCCGCCACATGCAGGACCTCCCGGCCTTCCTGCACGCCTACGCCCATCAGCACGACAAGGCCACCGTCTACCTCCTCGACGCCTCGCAGTCGCACCCGGCCCTCGTCGACAATGCCCGCGTTCACATTGACACCGCAGCCCTACGCCCGGCCATGGACGAGGCTCGCGTCACCAAGACGGCCCATGAGATTGCCCTCATCCGCGAGGCCAACGCCGTCTCCTCAGCCGCGCACCGCGCCGTCATGCGCCACATCCGCCGCTTCGCCTCGGAGCGCCAGGTCGCCGCCCTCTTCACCGCCGAGTGCACCGTCCGCGGCGCCCCAACCCAGGCCTACGCGCCCATCGCCGGCAGCGGCCCCAACGCGGCGACCCTGCACTACGGCGCCAACGACGAGCCCCTCGCCGGTCGCCACGTCCTCGTTCTCGACGCTGGCTGCGAGGTCAACTGCTACGCCAGCGACATCACGCGCACCCTGCCCCTGGGCCCCACCGGCCACTTCACGCCCGAGGCCCGCCACATCTACGACCTCGTCGAGCGCATGCAGGAGGCCTGCGTCGCCGCCGTCGCCCCCGGCCTCCTCTACTACAGCCTGCATCTCAAGGCCAGCGCCATCGCCCTGCGCGGCTTGCTGCGTCTCGGCATCCTCAAGGGCGACGAGAAGGCCATCTGGGCCGCCGGCACCGTCGCCGCCTTTTTCCCGCACGGGCTCGGCCACCACATTGGCCTCGAGACGCACGACGTCACCGGCCGCGACCGGCTCCTTCTCGCCGCTGGCGAACGAGAGCCGCGCGCCAAGAGGGACGCTGTCTCGGCCGAGATGCTCGTCGGCCTGGCGGCGGCCGTGGCAACGGGACCGCCGTACCGCGGCAAGCAGATGCTTCGGCCGGGCATGGTCGTCACGGTCGAGCCGGGCATCTACTTCAACAAGGACTACATCGAAGGCTACTTCCTGCGCGAGGATAAGCACCGCGCCTTCATCGATCGTGACGTGCTGGCGAGGTATTACCCCGTCGGCGGCGTCCGCATCGAGGACTGCATCCTCGTGACGGACGACGGGTACGAGAACTTGACAGAGGCGCCCAAGGGCGAGGACATGCTGCGGATCATCCGGGGGGAGGCGCAGTGACGACAGCACATATGGGCGTTGTAGGCGTAGACAGCGTTGGCCAGGGCAGCCTGAGCGGTTCGGAGAGATGATGGGAATACCTTCTGGGTGCCTCATTGGTTTCTGTTGACACAACATTGTGGAGTTTTCCCCCTGCGCTTCCTTCCATCGCAATGTGTGCTTTGTGAGGCTTGGACTCTTTGGATATGTACACGATCCCTATTTTTTTCACACCATGATTTTTGGCGCTTCAATCTCATTGCGTGCTTTGTAAAGTCTGGACTCTTTCGATATGTACATGGCCCCTATACTGTACAGGCGATCGTACCAGCCAACCGAAGAAAAGTACGCATCACCAAAATCAAGACAGCCGTTGAGAAAAACCAGAATATGCTTGTATGCTAAAAAATAAGGCCTCCTTCCTTGCTCGCCGTGCCCTGGCCCCCCACCCCCCCGCTGCCCCCAAATCCCGATCGCCAACGAGGCGACGCGCAGCTCAGAGGTACTTCTTGGGCATGCTCGCGCGCCGCCTCTTGTAGAGGTAGTACCCGACGGCGGCGACGATCTGGGAGCCGACAATGACGGCGATGAGCTTGCCGTGGCCGGGGACGGCGTCGGCGACGGCGCCGCTGAGGGAGCGGTGGTGGCCCTCGAGCACGCCCTTGATGGCGCGCTCGCTGCTCTTGACCTGCTGGCCGACGTCGCCGCGCAGGGCCTTGATCTCGCGCTCGAGCTCGGCGACCTTGGTCTCGAGCGTGCGCACGTGGTCGAGGCGCGGCAGCACGTCGAGGCGCACCGTGTCGATGAGCCGCGACACCTCGGCCCGCGACTGCTCGCCCGACCGCGCGTGCTTGGACACGGTGCGGAAGACGTTGCTGATGTGGTGCGTCAGGCTCTGCAGCCGGTTGTGCAGGTCGGCAAACTGCTCGGCCGACGACGAGAACGTTTCCGCCGACTGGTCCTTGATGTCGAACGGGTCCTCGTCGCTGCCGCTGCCGCTGCCGCCATCGCCGCCGAGAGGCGCGTTCTTGCTCGTGTCCTTGCTCGTGTCCTTGCTGAACCAGCCGCCGCCGCCCGAGTTGTCCCTCTTCTTCTGCTGCTGCTCCTGCTGCTGCTGCTGCTTGGCCTTTTGGGCGGCCTCGTTGCCGACGGAGCCCTGGTTGGACCCGGCCTGGCCCTGCTGGGTGTAGCTGGCCTCGGGGTGGAGGCTCTCGGACATGACGACGAGCTTGAACACCTCGAACGAGTCGGGGTTGTCGGCGCTGGCGGCCGTGATGCCGAACTGGTAGCCCAGCGGCACCTTGACCTTGTCGGTGGCGAAGCAGGGGGTGCCGTCGACCTCGACGGAGAACTTGTCGGCCGTCTGCCGCATCTTGATCTGGCTCGGGCGGCCGAGGTTGCGGTAGGCGTACTGGCAGTGGCCAAAGGCGAGCCCGGCAATGTCGCCCTGGGCGCTGAAGTCGGTCGTGCGGTCGTTGAGGAAGCCGCGGATCATGCCGCCCGAGCCGCCGTACGTGTCGACGACGAGGACGAGGCCGTCGAAGCGCCCGACCGTGTAGGCGCTGTTGAGGCCGACGTCGTTGCTGCCGCCCGACGTCAGCCAGATGTTGAGGTTGCCGCCGCCGCGGTCGGGCCCGTTGGCGCGAAAGTCGACGTCGGCGATCCACGTCGAGTGCATCAGCTTGTTGTTGGACCACACCGACGCGCGCTGGTTGCCCGGCGCCACGGGCGTCAGGATGATCTTGTTCGACAGCACCTCGGGGGTCTGCGGGCTGCCGACGAGGGCAAAATTGGGGATGACGCCGTCCTTGCCCATGCTGCATGCGTCGGTATCAAGTCAGCGACGAAGGCCC